CGGGGGAGGATGGGATGGGAAGGGGAAACAAAGGAGGAGGCTACAATGCTTGATAAGAAATGTACTCATTATCTTGCCCATGTAATTGTAACCCCTCTGTGCAGTATTTTCACAATAATAATAATAAAAAAAGATTTAAAAAAAAAACAAACCTCTTCTCTAGGCTGATGAATAGCAAGACACTTAAAATCACGGAGTGTGTAGGTTAGGATAGTTGAGGGCCAGACCTGTAACAGGCACATGTTACAGGGGTTGGAGGCATGGCTCAGTTGGTAGACCGACCACTAGCCAATGAGTGAAAACTGCAGGTATTGAGTTTAAGTTTGAGTCCTGGTCTTGGACCTAAAGGAAAAGAAGAGAAAAGCAATGATTCACATGTACATGTGTGGGAGCTATAATGCTAAAAGCAGAGAATGTTTAATCCTAAAATGGAGAGTGTGGTTTTCAGTAGGACCATGCAGTCAGGAAGAGGCATATGGAGCCTCAAAGGTGATGTAAATGATCCCTTTCCCAAGCTAGATGGGGATCTATAGACGCTTATTTTGTAACTCCAGGCTGTTCATGTGCTATAAGTAGCCATGTATGTAATAGTCAGGAACCAGTGGCTCACACCTTTTATTCTAGCTATGTAATAGGCTGATGTATGAGGATTACAGTTCAAAGCCAGCCTGGGAAGGAAGGTCTATGAGACTCTTAATCTAATTAACCAGTAAAAAGTCAGAATTAGAGCTTGGCTCAAGTGCTTGAGTGCTAGCCTTGAGCACAGAATCTCTTTTTTTGTTTTGTTTTGTTTTTTGGTTGGTCATGGGGCTTGAACTCTGGGCCTGAGTGCTGCCCCTCAGCTCTTCAGCTCCAGGCAAGCGCTCTACCACTTGAGCTACTACGCCACTTCCTGAGCACAGAATCTCAAGGACAGCACCTAGGCCCTGAGTTCAAGCCCTAAGACCTCCATGAAAGAAAAGAAAGAGATGGCTTTAAAAAACAAAACGTGTGTGTGTGTGTGTGTGTGTGTGTGTGTGTGTGTCAGTGTCAGTTGTAGGGCTTGAACTCTGGGCTTGGATGCTGTCCCTGCACTCTTCAGCCCAAGGCCAGTACTCTACTGCCTGAACCACAGCGCCAATTTCAGTTTTCCAGTGGTTAATTGGAGATAAGAGTTTCATGGACTTTCCTGCCGGGGCTGGCTTTGAACCATGATTCTCAGATCTCAACCTGAATAGCTAGGATTTACAGGTGTGAGCCACCAGCACCCAGCCTAAGACAAACACTTTTGATGTTGGTACTGAGGCTTGAACTCAGGGCCTTTTTTTACTTGAGGTTCGTGTTCTAACACTTGAACTACACCTCCACTTCTGGCTTTTTTTTTTTCCTGGTTAGTTGGAGATAAAACTCTCATAGATTTTATGCCTTGGGTTGGCTGCAAACTCTGACCCTCAGATCCCAGCCCTCAGAATAGGTAGGACTACAGGCCTGAGCAAGAAACACTTGGCCTTAGAATAGTTCCTTACTATTAATAGTAATAATTATCCCCTTACTAACCAATAATAATATAAACTATTGTAACTTTTAGTATGCTGCTTCTTATTATGAATATCAGAAACATCTGACTGGTAACACTAGCAAGGTCCCTCTCCTCTATCTTACATCTTAAGGACCAAACCTCTTAACTGTATCCCAATATGACAGTGGATGTATTTATAGCTTATGAAGATGCCCTGGAAACTGCTACAGAGTTCCAGATGAAAGTTAGCTCTGTCATCACCACCTCCTTGTGGGCGGCTTTTCCTGTGCTTGCCTCATTGATGCAGCTAAGCAAATTTCAGAGAGCCGGGACTATGGCCTGCTTTAGTTTGCATAGCTATAACACTACACTTGCTATGGAGAGTGTAGAGGGTATTCCTACATATTTGGTAGACTACATAAATTACTGTATCAGAATATAAAATGTCATACATCTTAGCAAGGTCAAAGCAGTTGTGCAAAATCTGACTTTCTAAATTATTAGTAGATCCAAACATTGTTTTCAACAAAAGCAAGAAAATTGCAAGGCCTACCGAGAAACATGGAAGTACGCCCCATTCAAAGGGAATCAGTAGACCAACAGAAATGACCATTCAGCCAGCTCCTGTGATCCTCGCTGCTCAGGAAGCTGAGGTCTGAGAATCGCAGTCTGAAGCCAGCCAGGGTAGGAAAGTCTTTGAGACTCTTACCTCCAAATAACCAGCAAAAATGCTGGAAGTGGAGCTGTGGCTCAAGTGGTAGAATGCTAGTCTTTAGCAAAAGAAGCTCAGGGATAGCACAGACCCTATTTTGAAGCCCCGGGACCAACAAACACACACACACAAAGAAAATCAGATGGTGAACCTACTATTTAAAACAAGTCTTAAAAATGTGCTTAAAAAACAAAAGGATGATGTAGAGAAGAGCAAGAAAAAATTAAAAAAACGTAAATATCAAGCCGGGCGCTAGTGGTTCAAGCCTGTAATCCTAGCTACTCAGGAGGCTGAGATCTGAGGTTTGCAGTTCAGAGCCAGCCTAGGCAGGAAAGTCCATGAGATTCTTATCTCCAATAAACCACCAGAAAACCAGAAGTGGTGCTGTGGCTCAAGTGGTAGAGCGCTCGCCTTGAGCTGAAAAGCTGAGGGACAACGCCTAGGCCCAGAGTTCAAGCCTCACAACGGACAAGAAAAACAAAAACAAAGAGTCTTACGGATTTTCCTGCCTGGTCTGGTTTAACCCATGATCCTCAGATCTTAGCCTCCTGAGTAGCTAGGATTACAGGCACGAGCCACCAGTGCCTCACTACTTTATTTATTGCCTGTCCTGGGACTTGAACTCAGGGCCTAGACTCTTGCTCAAGGCTAGTACTCAGTCACTTGAGCCACAATGCCACTTCTGTTTTTTTCTGTTTATGTGGTACTGAGGAATCAAACCTAGGGCTTCCTGCATATGAGACAAGCACTCTACCACTAAGCCACATTCCCAGCACCTTCTGTTTATTTTATTTTATTTTATTTTTGGTTGGTTATGGGGCCTGAACTCTGGGCCTAGGCACTGTCCCTCAGCTCTTCAGCTCAAGGCTAGCACTCTACTACTTGAGCCACAGCGCTGCTTCCAGCTTTTTCTGCTTATGTGGTGCTGAGGAATGGAACTCAGGGTCTCGTGCATGCAAGGCAAGCACTCTACCACTGAGCCACCTTCCCAGCCCTTCTGTTAATTTTAATATATGAAAAAATATCTTATTTTCCTATCCAGGAAAATAAGATTTTAAGAGGTTTACGTGTCTTTCTGGCTTGAATACATTTCCAACAGGAACATATGGGCTGCAGCTAAATACATCTATAGACTCCTTTGGTTATGCCTTCCTTGCTGTGTATTTTAAATGCTGTCTGTTCACAGGTCTCTTTGTTTTCCACATTTCCTCTTTCAGGGGAAGACGGAGTCTATCACCGTGGTGAAGCTGCTGAGCTGCTTTGATGACCTGGTGGCAGCTGGCACCGCCTCAGGGCGGGTGGCGATTTTTCAACTTGTGTCTTCATTGCCTGGGAGAAATAAACAAGTGGGTACTCAGACTATTAGTATGTCTTCACTTTGTGGCAAATTCCCAGGGATTTTAAAAATGAGAAGTCCTCATCTGCCTAGAAAACTTATTCTGAGCAGAACGCTGTGCTGTTTATAACTGGATAACATTTCTGTTCCTGCGTGGCATAAAGCACATAGGAATATTTTCAAGTTTGCCTAATACCCTCTTGCTATGTTCTTTTTTTGGGGGGGGGGTCCGGTCGTGGGGCCTGAACTCTGCATCATGCTGTGTTCTTATGAGATTTGTCCTGTTCTTTATTTTTTTGGTGGTACTGTGGTTTGAAATTAGGGCCTTTCTCTTACTAGGTAGGCATGTTACTGCTTGGGCCACACCCTCAGCACTTTCGTCTTTAGCTATTTTTCAAATAGGGGTCTTGAATTTATTACTGGGCCACCCCTGGACATCGATCCTCCTATTTATACTTCTGGCATAGCCAGGGTGACAGGTACTTGTGTTTGTTGTTTGAGACAGGATCTTGCTATGTAGCCCAGGTTGGACACCTGGTTTTCCTGCATTAGCCTCCTGAGTGCAGGGATTACATGAGTACACCACTATGCCCCATGTCTCTGAGTTTTCAGTATGAACAGACAGACATTGCCTTGTACAGGATTCTGTATGGAAGACTAGCTCTCCATAAATAAGTGATGTCCACATAGCCCCAGTTACTGCATAATCCTCTTCCTTGTGTGTTTTTATTGTTTATTCATAGCTTCGGAGATTTGATGTCACTGGTTTTCACAAGCATAGCATCACAGCTCTGGCTTGGAGCCCCAATGGAATGAAGTTATTTTCGGGAGATGACAAAGGGAAAATTGTTTATTCTTCTCTGGACCTAGATCAGGTAAAATTACTTTCAGAAATACTGTTGGCTATTTTTATTTTTAATTTTTATTTATTATTATTTCTTTTGCTAGTTGTGGGGCCTGAACTCTGGGCCTGGGCACTGTCCCTCAGCTCTTCAGCTCAAGGCTAGCACTCTACCACTTGAGCCACAGCACCATTGCTGGCTTTCTCTGCGTATGTGGTGCTGAGGAATGGAACCCAGGGCCTCATGCATGCAGGGCAAGCACTTTACCACTGAGCCGCCTTCCCAGCCCCTGGCTATTTTTATATTAGAAATGATGATATTCCAAATTATATTTTAGCTAGATGGCTATATTCCTGACTATAGTCCCTTTTTATTGTCAACAGGTATTTTTAACATTTTTTTCACGGGCTTTTCCAGTATTTTGTAAGGTCTTACTTCTGTGACTAAAGAATTAGCCTGCTGGAACGTTCACTTCTTCAGTGTTATTATTTTTGTGCCTGTTCTGGGGCTTGAACTCGGGGTCTGGGCACCATCCCTGAGCTCTTCTGCTTAAGGCTAGTGCTCTACCACTTTGAGCCACACCCCCACTTCTGGTTTTCTGGTGATTAATTGGAGATAAGACTGTCATGGAGCCGGGCGCTGGTGGCTCACGCCTGTAATCCTAGCTACTCAGGAGGCTGCGATCTGAGGATTGCGGTTCAAAGCCAGCCCGGGCAGGAGAGACCGTGAGACTCCTATCTCCAATAAACCACCAGAAAACCGGAAGTGGCGCTGTAGCTCAAGTGGTAGAGCGCTTGCCTTGAGCTGAAGAGCTGAGGGACAGCGCCCAGGCCCAGAGTTCAAGCCCCACGACCGACAAAAAAAAAGAGTGTCATGGACTTTTCTGCCCCAGCTGGCTTCAAACCATGATACTTGTATCGCAGCCTCCTGAGTAGCTAGGATTCTGGAGTTGAGCCACCGGTGCCTGGCCCTTAAGGAATTTGTTACATTATTTTATCCTCAAACAGTGCTTGGAGCTGCTTAGCAACCAGCCCAGGGGCCTGGCAGCTCAGGCCTGGCAGGTTCACTTTGAATTGAGGTTCAGCTCCAAAGCTTATTCCTTTCCTACTGTCAGTAGGGATTTAGGATTGCTTATGGATTTGTTTGGTTTGGTTTGGTTTGGTTTGGTTGTGTGCCAGCTAACTGCACTTAACACTTGATCTTTCCTTTTCTCATTTGTAGTCTTCATTGGCAATGTTAGAGTCTAAGAATTTATCAGTTTTTAGCTGAATGGCTTTCATTTCACTCTCTATGGTCTAAGATTGAATCTTTGTCAGATACTCTCTAGCAGTAGTTCTTTCTGCTCTCAAGACTTCTTATATTCTTTTTTTTTTTTTGGGGACGGGGGTCTGGTCGTGGGGCCTGAACTCTGGGCCTGGGCGCTGTCCCTCAGCTCTTCAGCTCAAGGCTAACGTTCTACCACTTGAGCCACAGTGCCACTTCTGGCTTTTTTCTTTTTGCTTATGTGGTGCTGAGGAATGGAACCCAGGGCCTCA